TTAAAGAGTTAAATAAGATTAGTCAACACATAATTAAATCATTAGAAGAGTAAGAGAGATAATGAAATTGGGCCCCTTCTTGGGCCAATTTCGCTATATTTTTCAGCTTTAAATCAATTCCCGTTTTTGGTATACAACTGATGTATATCAGTGTATATCGGCATGTATATCAGTCCTTTTTATGTATCTCTTGCTTCCGAACACCTGTATTTCACTCCGGCCCTGTGTTTTTTGCGTTTTGGGGCCTGCATAATAGCGTATACCGCTGTATACCACATGTATACAGTCCATTTCTTGGACTTTTGAATTAATTTCCAGCAGCAAGTTAAGTCTCTGGGGCTGGTAACAACTTCCGAACATGTAGGGGGCCGACTCGAGAAATAGGGACAGCAGATATCGAGCCTTTATGGCTCAACTCGGAAATGTGTGGTAGATAAATCCACCATGGACTCAAAGAGAAATTCACATACACACAAAGAGGAAGAAAAGAATTAGAACAAGAGATGAAACTTTCAACAAATACCTAATCAAACGATTTACTCATGACGAAGATAAACATACACATTATTTTAAAGAGACGAGAGCAGATGCAGATTCATCAAATAATATGCAGATTTAAGATATGGATCATATGCGTCAAATAAGCATTTTTATCTACAGCAAAAGGCAATGCAATGAAATACAATTGAATTCAAACTGTCAATTCATATAGCTCATTTGATAAAAAATTTTTGAAAAAGAAAACCATCTGTAAATGTGAAAGGAATTATAGATAAAGCCAAAAAAAAATAAAAAAATAAAATGTATATAGAATGAAATCAACAACTACTAAGAAGATTCCAACACAACAAGGTCAACTACATTACAGCAAACTTACACGGTCTTTTCTTAGGCATTAATGGGTTATTAGAAGATAATTTTAATAAATTCCAACATTTAAAGGTAAGAGATATTTGAAAGAAACAAAGACTCAATAGCGATGGACAATCTAATCCAACTCGAGGGCAGATGACAAGATTCGATTTTAGCATAATTTATGAGTGAAGATGCTATAATATACAAACAAAACCTTATCGGAATAGGAGTGTTAATGGGAAACAAATTAAACAACACAAATGAAATCAAGCTCCAGTAGCTTGATCTAAACAGCTATTCGGCATATTTATTTATTTTTTCTTTACTCACTTTAACTCGACGAACCCATCACAAGCTAACTCGGCATGACCGAAAATAAAGAATATGCAAACTGACATTATCACAAGCAAGATTTTATAGATGCAAACGACTAGCAAATGGACTAAAATATTCTGTTATGAACGCGGAAAGTACAGACGCCATAAGAGGGGAGGTAAAACAGTACACTAATCTACTCACACGGTTTGTGCTAACTGAAATAATCAAAGACCTCCTCACGTATCGGATTGAGAAAACAGGCAAACTATATTAACAACTTCAAAACTAAAACAATACTCTCAGATTGAGAAAACAAGCAGACCATATTTAAAGCAATACTCATAGGCAACAATGTGAGACTAACAATAAAATGAGGAAACCTCAACAGGAACAAACTAAAACAAAACCATCAAGAAACCTAATCAGCAACATTCGAGTAACAGGCAGGTTACACTACCGATTTGCAGTCAAAAGTAAACATTAATATTCTGTAAATATCAATAATTGAACACCTCAATCAGTCAAAAGCAAATAATCGATACACTAAAAATAAAAGTGACCTGGACTAAGATAAATATTACCTTTTGAGGGGAAGCGAACTGAGACAAGACGAGTGATTTGTAGCGACGACTTCTTGCACCGATTTAGACTCGAGCAATAGACAAGAAATTCAAACCAACCTTTGATCAAGCTCTCTGTAACTCAGAATTAGGAAATCGTTTTGAAATTTCTCAAGTGTAAAACGACTATTGCCTAAAAAAAATTGAACTCTCCCCTCTGTCCCAGCCCCCTTACAGTGAATAATATATATAGCCAAGAAATTAAGGCAGATTTAGGAGGAAATCAGTTGGATTTTCGAAAGAAAAATTTGAAATTTTTCGTTGCTCCTTTCCGAGACCAACAGTAAAAGGCATGGGAGTCTTTCTCTGCTCTGAGACTCCGCGAAAGGGGGAAAAGGAGACGTGAAGGTGATGGATTAGGTTGCTAGGGTTATGGGTGACGAGATTTCCGCGTGAAGAAGACGTTATGGGCAGTGGGGTCGCGGCTGCTGATTGCTGATTTTCAGCGATGAAGATGAAGTTGGGCGGTGGGTACTCTGTATGTACGTATGGCTACTGTTGATGTATTATTGAATGGAATTGTTGGATCTTTTTCTATTGTGGGCTAATGGGTTAGGAATTTAAGGGTGGGCTGCTGAAAAATTGCACTTGGGCTGAAGGAAATAAAAAAGGGCCCAACATTTTGGTCTTATCACAAATGGGTTTAGGTGGGTAGAAGGGCTGGTTGTGTTTGTAATAAAAAGGCTAAGTTTTGAATTGAGGATTTGGCCATATAGATAGCAATTAAGTTCGATTAGATTTAAGAATTTAGTCAAATTGAGCTTAATTAGTGATTCGACTAAAAAGCCGAATAAGGCGAATTAATATAAATTAATTAATGAGTTTCTTAATCTCAACAAAATAAAAATAAGAACTTAATTATAAACTAATTAATTCTATTACAAAACTAATTAACTCGAAATTATAGCTATAACTTAAAGCAAATTAATAAGATATTTAACCAAAATGTAAAATCTTTTGTGATAATTTTCAAATATTTATAAAATAGCGTGATTGCAAAAATACATACTTATCATTAAAAAGTGATAAAATTACTTAAAAAAATAACTTGAAAGTATTTTGAATTTCATAAAACTTATTAACTCAAAACTATAACCATCCCTAATATTTAAAATATAATAATTATTTTTTGACGATTTTCGAATAATCATAAAATATACTAATCATATACATAATTATGTAAAACATATACATTATCTAAAATTTATGAAAAGTGACAAACTATTTAAAAGTCTTGCAAACTATATTATTATTATTACTTTTATAAAACTAATTATTTTAAAAATATGGTCATAACTAAAATAACGTAACTTAAATAAAATGCGCTTTTCAAATCAACAAAATTAAATAAGACAAAATAATATAAAATAAGAATAATTAAACTAATAAAATAAATAACTTATACTTTAAACCAAATTAATTTAATTGAATATAAAACAAACTCTTTTGAGACGATTTTTGAATATTCATAAAATATAATAATTATATACATAATTATGTAAAACATATATATTATCTAAAAATTACAAAATAAGACGGAACTAGTTAAAATAACTTGCAAACTATATTGTTATTATTATTAGTATTATTATTATTATTTATTTTTATTATTATTCTTTTTTTAGAAATTTTATAAAACTAATAATTTTAAATCGTTTGAAATTGGAGAAGTTCGAAATGATTAATTTATATTGTGGAGGGTCAAAATTGGGTGTCAACAGTTAGCGCCGAGAGTGGGTTTCGAACCCACTTCGCTCGAATTGAATGACTTCACTGGGTGCATGGAGACCACTGGGCCGCGTCCGCCTCATTATGCTAAAGGGTTCGCAGGAAATTTATTTGTACGTTTTATTTGATATTTTAATACGAATATAGGATCTACAGAAAAGCCAGTGGGTTCGCCCAAACCCCCTTCCGCTACAGTAGCTCTGCCCCTGATAATTTGCACCTAGGACTCCCCCTCTTTTTCTCGAACTAGTGTCACCATTAATTACTAATTAAATTTTGACCTCGTTTAAAAAACTTGTAAAAATATTTTGGGTATTTAGAGAGTTGGGGGAACAGTACATGAAGTTTCACCATATTTTGCACATATTTTAGGTATTTAGGAGTCATTTTACAGGAATTAGGTGATTTTTTCAGGGTTTCGTGTGTGTTGGCCCATCAATGTAGTGGTGATATAGCTTCCAGGCAATTATTTTGTAAAGCATTACCAAACCCTCCGTTTGGAGTTGGGGGAGCAGTACGTGAAGCCTCACATTTTTTTGTACATATTTTGGGCATTTAGGTGTCAATTTATAGGAATTAGTCGATTTTCTCAGTTTTTCGTGTGTTAACCCATGAATATTTTGGTGATATGTCTTCTGGAGATTTTTTTTGCAAAACCTTTACAGAACCCTCTGTAGGGAATTGGGGTAGCAATACGTGAAGCCTCACCATTTTTTTGCACATGTTTTTGGCATTTAATAGCCATTTTACAAGAATTACGCGATTTTCTCAATTTTTCGTGTGTGTTATCCCATGAATGTTTTGGTGATATGGCTTCCTAACAATTTTTTTTAAAAATAACTTACAAAATCCTTCATAGGGAGGATATGGAGCATTAATATTACGTGAAGCATCACTATTTATTGCATGCATTTTGGGCATTCAAGAGCCATTTTATAGAAATTACGTGATTTTCTCAATTTTTCGTATGACTTACAAATGATTTTTTTTGTAAAATATTTACAGAACCCTCCGTAGAGAGTTGGGAGAGCAGAAAGCATAGCCTCACCATTGTTTGCGCATATCTCGAGTATTTAATAGTCATTTTATAGGAATTAATTACACCGATTTTTGACCCCATTCTTTAGCTAATAAGTTGAAGGTAAGCTAGCCATTTTTTAAGAATCGATAAATCCATATTACATAGGCATAAAGCATAAAATACACTTAAATTGTAGTAAAATTATCAATTACACCCCACCCCTCCTTAAACTATAGTGGAATAATACGGAGAATTTTGATTTTGCACTTCATTGTTGTTTGAGATCTGACGGATAATGAGATCTGATCGATTTTGATATATTTATCGAGAATAATTAAATAAGATATTTTAACCTTTTTTTGGTCTAGCGTAAGTGTGTGTATGCACATGATATATTTTAACGTATTTTCTTTATCAAAGTGAAGGATAAATTCTGAAGTAAGACTATAAATGATTCTTCATTTAGGATAATGCTTTGTAAACCAAGTAGAATGATAATTATCACTTGATTTTTCATTCTTTTCTTGTAAACCAACATCAATGAACACCATTCTTGGGTAACTCTGTAGGGAAACCCCCATTAAATTAGGTAAAAAATGTGTCTTTTTTAGATATCTACTCGATTTTCCTGAGGCTGCTCTTGGTGGTTCAAGTAGTACATTTTCTAGTTTCTTTAGTGCTGCCTTTTTTGCACTTGTAAAATCATCCGACCTGACAAATTCAGATTCACGCTGAGCAAACTGACTAAGGGAAGTCAAATGCTCCTTATCAAAAACCTTTCTGTTCCCAGAGCTCGAACTAGACACCTTTTCTGCATTAGTTTCAAGAAGTCGCCGCGTAGAAGAGTTGATAGAGGCATTCTTTATTTTCTTCATGGCTACAATAGTTGAATCAAATTTTCTAACATAGACAATCTTGTAATTTGATGGATGTGGAAATTCATCAACCAAAGGATTGTCACTTAGTGGTACAACTAGAATATCACCAACTTTCAAAGCTCTTTCAATAAAATTTGATAATTGAGGATAACCATAGGCCAAAACAAAATCAAAAGTTTCATTAGGGACAAGATTTTGTTGCGTAGAATCTGAAAATGAAATCAAATTAGGATTATAATCTTTAACAACTTGAGAATTATAAATTTCTTCATCATTGCCATTGCTAACAAGAAGGGACCTATCACCCATTCTTATAAGTCTTTCATTAGCCAAATCTTGAAAAATCATAGGCAAAAACTCCAACTTAATTGGATTATAAACCATCTCATTATTAACTTGATAAGCATAATTAGACTCGTATCGCGATGATAAGTACCCGAGATTATTGTATTAATCCAAGGTAAAGAAACAATTACCAATGCTAATATTGTTGCACGAGCCATAAACTTCAAAACCCAAGAATGGTCTATTCTTATAATCACCAACTTTGTATCCCAATTATAATCCATTAATCCATCTATGTATAAACCTCTCATTTTGCTATGTTGCTTGTTGTAAAAGCCTTGCAACATGTTATTCATCATTTTGTACCTCATATGTGTTATGACAAGTAACACGAATCACAAAAAGGTGCATGCAAGCTAACCAGACACCAGCTGACACCAAAAAGACACTAGGTTGTTGGAAAAATTTCTCGAAACACAAAAGAAAGTCGAATTATTACTAATTAAAAAAAAAAAAAAGGGTTGGTGAGCTAGAATAATAGAAAATTACGAATATTTTTTTTTAACGAGTTCAAAACCTGGCTGCGGTGTGGTTGCCACCCACGAGGGCTAGTCTATTTGTTTGCACTTTTGCCCACAATAACAATAAATCTTTTAACCTCTGAATTTCCATTTATTAATAATATTATTACTCTCCTTCCTTCTATAATTTCCAGATCGATGACATTTATTTGGAATATTAACACTATTCCATGATCAAGTTTTTTAACGATACATTGGAAGAAAATCCAATAATATTTTCGTCACCGATCGGGAAAATAAAGAAGGAAGGAGGAGGAGGAGGTATAATAACAGAGAAAAAAAGACTATTGGATTTATTTCTATTATTATTATTTTTTTGGTATTTTTTTTCTTTTATAGTTTCAAATGATATGTTTCTAGGCTAATATAGAAAGTAATACTATTAATGATGTTTGGTTATGCGATTATTTCTCTTTAAAAGGAATGGTGAAAAAATTGGCAATTAACTTTGATGGACGTGGCTTAATTAATTTCACCATACAATCTTGATAAGAATAATTAACAAACATTTTATTTAATGTAAGAGGTGATCAAAATGATATAAATATTTTATTGGTTATAGCTCTTTAACAAATTGTAGTATGATATATTTTTATCATTATTATTATTATTATTATTATTATTATTATTATTATTATTATAAATGAGGAAGGATATTTAGTCATGACACATTACCAACCTTGCAAGCAGGGTTGGCTCTTGCTTGATAAATTTAAGGCACATGCCTTAGGCCCCCCAATTTTTGGGGCCTCAAATTTTCATCAAGAAAAAATTATGTGTTAATTTTTTTAATTAAGAAATAATTATTTTTGCTTAAAAAGTATAATTTTAAACAAATATATATTATTTTATTATTTTTAACGCCAATCAAATAGAAGAAATTAAGAAAACATTATTTTGTATGTTACATTCTCTTCGCTAACACTCGTATTATTTATCTTTTTAAAATTCTTTTGCAGTTTCTTTTAAATTTTTTTTGATAAGTTAGAGTAATACACTATCAAAAATATAAATTAATAGTCGAAAAAATTCAACAAAGTAACTTACAATTTTTCTTTTGTTTGTTTCTTCTTAAATATTCAAGTTTTACATAAACATATTAAAGTAGGGTTATACCAAGTTATCAATTTCTTGTATCAGATTTTATGGTTCTAATTCTTATCTTTATGTAAAGTGTAATGACCCTAAAGGTCATTTTTGGAAATTTTCATAAAATGACCGTTTTACCCCTCCCGATAGTTGCCCCGAGTCCTAATTGTTGTATTTTCGAAGTTGGTTTGAAGGAAAATTGATGAAAAGTTGAGTTTTTAAGAGTTAAAGTTTGGTTAAAAGTGTTATTTCGAGTCATTTGGAGTTTCGAGACTCGAATCGGATTTCCGTTGATTCCAGCAGTTTTAGAATGTCGAAATGGGTCTATGAGAATTTACGGAGTCGAATTTGGAGTTATAACGAAGATTTGAGGTCCTAAGTTGCAAAAATTGTGAAATTTTGATCAAGAGTTGACTTTGGTCAACAAACGAGGTTCCGGTGCTCGAAATGGAATTCCGAGGGCACCGTTGGATTCAGGGGGTGATTCTAAGTCTAGAATGAGTCTTGGTTGAATTTTTAGAGGCCCCGAGTGCGTTTCGAGATTTTGAGCCTAAAGTTAGTTTCTTGACGCCTTATCGGATACCGGGTCAAGGAGACCTCGAATTCAAATTCCGATGATTTCATTGAGTCCGAAATGTCTTTTTCAAGCTAGTAGCATATTTGGTTTGTGTTCGGGAAGTGCCAAATGAGTTTTGGGTGAGGTTTTAAACATCTTGGATGCTTTTACACTATTTCAGCAAATTGTGGCAACTAAAGGGTTCATTATTAGTTTCAAAGGTCGAAAAATTATTCCGAAGGTTCTGAAATTTTGAGCATGAATTATAGGACTTATCTGCAAATTTTGGTGCATTTTCGCTAACCCAAGATTGGACTTTTATCGCAAATAAGAAATAATGGTTTACCGAGTAGAAATGATATTTGACTGGGCAAGCGAGCATGAAATTGAGCTCCGATTGAACGAGCAGGTCCGTATCATTATTTAAGACATTTACAAAAAGAATCGGGTCATTTCACTATCGTATGAGGAAATTACGGCCTTTTTAGTGAAAGATTAACTGCTGTTTTTCTGGTGCATAACAACCATGTACTGTTATAAAAATCTCAGACTGTGTTCATTTGGTATTTTGAGCATATCGGGAGTTCTAGAGATCGGAATAGAGTGATTCTTACGGGTTTCTTCTTGAATTAATATAAGGGTTAGTATTCAATCTTCAATTCGACATTTTCTCATAATTTCTTTATCTGGTTTTTCTTTTTTTACCTATCCGTAAATCTCTTGGTAAAATTTGGGGTTTTATCGATTTGGACTCCCTTTTAGATGAAAAAGGTATATTTACGATCCTTATGTTATGGGTAAACTGATTTTAACATAAAATTATTGATTCATCGATTATTTTCATCATATTAATCGCTTACAATTTGGACTTTCCCGGTAAAGTTAAAGTTTGATAAATTGAGAATTTCAAGGTCGATCTTAACTCCGTTTTTGATGAAATTTCATATTTGAACTTATCTAAGCATGGGTAAGATGTTTTTCAAGAGATATTTCATTTTCGAGTCGGGGTTTCAGATCCGAATATTTTAGGCTTCTTCAAGAACGTGAATTTTCCTTCAAATTGAGTTTGTGAATTGATTTCAACTCCGTTTTCAAATTGGTTTTCACCATTAGCTTCCAAATACTTTAAGGATCATTTTACATCAAAAATTTCCTGATTTGGGTATTGTTTTCCGGTATGAAACTTTTGGACCGTTTTGCCCTTTTTCCCTAAATTTCTTGATTTTGGTGTCATTGGACTCGAATTGTGATTGTGAGTAATTGTTTGAATAGATTATCGCGACCCGTATTATACTCAGAAAGGAAAGGCTCAAGTCAAGTAACTTTTGGAGTTCGTTTTAAGGCAAGTGGCTTTCAAACTTTGTAAAACTCTTAGACTACGCATGACTACTTTCCTAATTGTGTTGTGGAGTAATGGGGATTTAGGATGGGTTTTATTTGTTGATTGAAATTGTTGTAAATGAAATATGGGGAATAAAACGAGCTAAATGTGTTATATATGACTTGAATTTGTTGAATAAGTCATGTGATAACTGATATTGAGGGGATAGAATAGCATGAGTAGACTATGATTGATACAGACATTGATGTTGAGACAGATGATGTGTAATACTATGATGTGGTCGTGATATGGTTGTGATTGAGATATGTGATGTGTAATACTATAATGTGGCCGTGATATGGTTGTGATTGAGAGAGGTGATGTGTAATACTATGATGTGGTCGTGATATGGTTGTGATTGAGACATGTGATATGTAATACTATGATGTGGTCGTGATATGGTTGTGATTGAGACAAGTGATGTGTAATACTATGATGTGGTCATGATATGGTTGTGATTGAGACAGGTGATGTGTAATACTATGATGTGATCGTGATATGGTTGTGATTGATGACATGTGCATATTCATTATTTATCCCATGTGTGAACTATCTGTTGCATGAGTTTTGAGACACTGATATGAGGATGGATGGATATGAGACACAATTGAGACTAGCTCCGGCTAGAGATATATGAGATGGACTAGCTCCGGCTAGCGATTTGGATGTCGATGGGATCTGGGTCCGGCGGTGATACATGGTCCATGTGTGGCCCCCATGGGTTCTGATTTGAGTATTCAGCGCGGACTGATTACGTCAACAGATGTGTATCGTAGGACAGACATACATCACGACTACATGACATCATTATTGCATTTTGCATCGCATTTGCCTTATCTTTGTCTGTGATGTGTGGATTGTATCAGTTTACCCTTCTTATGTGGAAATTGATCTATTTGCTCTTATTTGTTGATCTGAGGTTGATGAGGATATACTGTTGGTTCTGGCTGTTGAATATGATATGTTTTGTAAAGGAGTAGTTTGTAGCTGCTAGTTTTGCTTAGTTTAGAGTTACTTGCGAGTACTTGTGGTTTTCGGTATTCACCCTTGCTTCTACACAATTGTGTAGGTTGACAGCTCTCTCAGATTCGGCTTAGTATTTTCTTTAGCAGATTGAGCTTCGGGACATACTCAAGAGGTAGCGGTTCATTCCAGACGTGCCCTTGAGTTATCTTTACTTTCAGTTTTGTTCTATTCGAGAACTATACTCTGAGACTTGTATATTTTTATTCGAATTCTGTATTTAGAGGTTTGTACATGTGACAACCAAATTCTGAGTAGTGTTGAGTCTTAATTAAAGTCTTCCGCTTATTTATTATCTTTTATTCTCGTATTTCTACCTCTCTATCGTTGTGGTTGGGTTAGGCTGACGTGTCCGGTGGGAAATGGACACGTGCCATCACATCCGGATTTGGGGTGTGACATAAAGTTTGTCAACTTATTACTTATAGTATTATGTTAACAATTTATATAATGATTGCCTCAGTAAAAGAATATTTTTCAATGTTGAATTCATAAAATATTACTTAAAATTAATAATTAAAAACGATATTAGAAAAAATCATTTTAAGAAAAGATATCAAGTAATAATTTGCACTTAAAAAGTTTTAAAAAATAAATAACTATATTTGATATTTATATAGATTTTAGGCCTCACTTAAATTTTGTTTTATGCCTCAAATTACGTTGAGCCGCCCCTGCTTGCAAGTTGCTTGAGTAATTTCATGAAGTACTTATTATCTATTATTAGTACATGTACTAAATGAGGGACGATATTTAGTCGTCACGACACATCACCAACCTTGCATGTTGCTTGAGTAATTTCATGGAGTATGTGTTATTTATTATAATTAGCACATGTATTGATTCATTATGATTGTTCAATCTTTATTTTTCACCCTGCTCTTAAAAGAATAAAGTTTTGAAAGAAGGTTTTTTTTTTTTAATTAAAGTGTCTATTTTGAAAAGAAATTATTATATTTAGAATTGCTATTTGCAATTGAGTTTGATGTTTCAAATCACTTTATTTAGATTCCATTTTCTTGTGTCTATTTGATACTTTTTTTCCATTTTTTTCTAATGTCATAATTACATTTTTCTTCTGATAAGCAAATTAAAGGTGAAAAAGACTTGTATTCATGTATGTAGTTGAAATTTGAATTGTATTGTCAATAATGGGAGGAACTATCACTAGACCACACACTAATAGAAGTGATTTATACATAGTTATTTCAAATCCACACATGTATGTTGAATATAGTTGTGACAAAATTGATCGAATTTTAAATAGATCAAACATCATATAATTGATGTTTGAATTGTATATAGTCAATAATGGAAAGAGGGTGAATTAAACGTGTGAATACGAATTTCATGAAACTCAATAGCTGTGATTCATATAATGTATTCATATTAAGAAATTAAATTTATTAAAATTTAATTAATATTAAATTTAAAATCAAAATATTATCATTTAAAGTTACTATTATAAAATTTTAAATCTATAAAATTAAAATTCTGATTCCACATTTGATAGCAGATGAAACGATTGAGACATATTCCATAGTCATGTTGTGGTGCAGGTTACTGTTTTTTTGTTTTGCTTTGTGACTTGCATTCTTTTACTTGGTGATCTTCCACGTACGCCTTTTAAATTTTCTAATTCACATAAAAAAGAATTTTTATATTATCAAATCATTTAAAAGATAGATAATGTACATATAACTATAAATAAAATAAAAAAGTGTAAATTGCTTGATTAAGTCTGTGTGAATAAGTTAAATCTAAAAAAAAATATGCATATAGATTTTCAATTTAAAAGGAAGAGTAAATTCTTATCTTATAAAAATTGTTTAAGATATAAAGGTAAAATTCTGAATCAATTCTTAAATCAAATATTTCAAATTCGAGTATTATTGAATATGAAAAAAGTCATGTGAGGAAGCACTTTTCTTTTAATGAGTCGTGTGTGACACAAATTTAAAGTATACGATGCCGAGTGAAATTGGAAAAAAAAAAGAGAGAAGAAAATCTTGAATATTATGTACGGACAAAAATCCCCCTGTTTAAATCATTCATCATATTAATCAATGACTAATCAAGGCCAAGGAGGAAGATTCTCAAAGGGTGCTCCACTAGTCATTGATGTTGAAACTTTGACCTGTTGGTCAATGAAGAATTTAAATTATATACATTAATAGTATAATTTCGTTTACACTATAGATGTTAATTAATTGATGATCGTGATGACTAATGATGTTGATTATGTGTGTCGTCTGTGATGGCATTGACTGATGATGGTGGTTCTTGGTAGTATTTTATTGTATAATGGTTGGAAGTAGTGAGTAATTGTGGTTGTTGGTGGTGCCGATTAATTATTAGTAGTGGAATGATATTGATATCTAATGGCGGTGAAGAATGATGATACCAGTTAACAATATATAATGTTGACTAATGGTAGTAATCATCAACGGTAAATAAATAGTGAATGCAATAATAGTTGGTGACGATGATTGCAAATGATGTCTAATGGCGATGGCGATTGATTTTGGTGATTGCTGATAGTGGTGGTTGTGGATGGTAGGTGGTGGTAGTTATGGTTGAAATGGTGATGGGGGAAGCATAATATGGAATAGTGGTGAATTGTCATCTTTATATATATTCTCAAAATAGACATTTTAATGATATTAGGCCTTGATTATAGATCTTAATCATTCTGATCCATTAAGTAATTATAAATTTTAAAAAACAAACACACTTAATGATTAAGATCTGAATGATTAAGATTAAAACAAATAGACTTAATTATTGAGATCTGAATTATTACGATTAAGACATTCATTCAGAGTGAAAACAAAGGAAGGTACTTCACTCATCATCTATAAATTTGCGTTTTCTCTCAACTTGATGAAGTACACTAGTGTATTGTTCAATTTTGCATAATGTCTAGTTTGAATATCCCAATATACCTTGTGCTTTTCTTGATTAGCCAAAGTATTACCACAATATTAGCACTTGATGACCATTATTGCTGCCCAAACACAACTACGTATAACAATATAACAAACACCTCTTACAATTCCAACCTCAATTTGCTACTTTCAAATCTTTCTTCTGCCTCTAGAGAACATCTTTTTTACAATTTCTCCATCGATGGCACCGATAATTTCGAAACAATTTACGGTCTTTTCATTTGTCGAGGTGATATGTTAAGCGTAAATTGTCAAGATTTTGTAACAAGAGCTGTTAAAGACATAATCTTGTCATGCCCCGGTAGCAAAACGGCTGTATTATGGTGGGATGATTGCATGTTACGTTACTCGAATCAATCAATATTCCCCGATCCAAACTATGGATCCATAATTAACAATCCATCGACACCTTTTGTCATATATAACACTATTACAATTACCAATAATGAACAAAGAAGGTTCAAACAGATTTTAGGGAAAATTATGGATGACGTAACAACTCGGGCTGCTAGTGATGATCGATCGATAGACAGGAAAATTGCAATTAGGGAAGCTAAGTTCAGTGTTAACACAACAATTTATGCCTTAGCTCAATGCATTCCTCATATGTCTTCTAAAGATTGCATAAATTGCCTTGAAAATACCATCAAAGTTTTAAACAAGTGTCGTGATGTATATAGAGGTGCTAGAGTTCAATTTCCTAATTGTTTTATGAGACATGAAGTGTACCACTTCTACAATAATACTAAGCCACCTGCTTTGTCCCATAATCAAGGTACATTTTACTACTCTCCCTGTTCTATTTTATATGAGTTATAGTCTGATTTGACACATAGTTTACGATAAATTTTTACCTTTATCCCCCCACCACTCACACACACAAATATGTAAGCATGCTATCTTTTCTTTTAATTTAATTGGATAAATGACGAAATGAAAAGTATTTTGAGCGTGTTCTTATCTTAACTCTTAAATTAAATATAATATTTATATTTGGTATAAGTCGACATTGTGCTAGTATGGGTTTGTGTCCCATTGATATTGACCCAAAAAAAGTTTTTACCTAAAGAAGGTATACGTAACATTCTATTAATTAATGTAATAATATTCTTCATCTATATTCCAACCATATGTCTCTTTTATATCAACTGATGAAATTTAGATGAATTCGTATTTATTATCTGACGCTCGATAATAATATGATGGTTGGAAATATCACATCAAAAATTAAATAGAAAGCATTAATAGAATGAATTCAAATTCTTGAATGGCGTAGTCAAAAACCCTTCGTCAAATATCGAAAATTATTTTTTATATGTATATACTAAATTTTAAACATCATTAACGAATTTTCTGACTTCGCCAGGGCATGACGGAAATCCAAAAAAAGAAGTACTAATTATTTGTGCAGTGGTTGCCATTGTAATTCTTTTGTTTCTACTATCAATTGGAGTCTTTCATTTGCTACTAAGGAGAAGAAGGATGAAAAGAAATAATAAAACTCTTAAGGAGATGAATGGTAATTAATTAAATCTCAATTATTTAATACAATTCAAGTCCATTGATTTCTTAATTGACTAACTTTTTTTTAATTAATTATATACATGTGTTGCAGTTGATCTTAGTGAGATTTTAACTGCTGAATCATTGCAATATGACTTTAGTACAATTGAAGCTGCCACTAACTTCTTTTCTATGGAAAACAAAATTGGTGTAGGTGGATTTGGTGATGTCTATAAGGTAACATGTTCAAATTAGACCATATAATAATTTTTTAGATATAAGTTATATATACTGACAACATAAATATATTTTACATGATCATCAGGGGGAACTTGGTAATGGACAAGAGATAGCTGTAAAACGGCTATCAAGAAGGTCAAGTCAAGGTGTTGAAGAATTTAAGAATGAAGTTGTACTTGTCGCTAAGCTTCAACATAGAAATTTAGTGAGACTCTTAGGTTTTTGCTTGGAAGGAGAAGAAAAAATACTCATCTACGAGTTCGTGTCCAACAAAAGCCTTGACTATTTCTTATTTGGTACGCTTGTTTATACGTCTCACTTTTCTTTTTTAATTAGATTGTTATATACAGTATTTCTCTAATTTCAATGTCTCACGTGATATGATTAAGATACGAAGAAACAAGCAATGTTGGATTGGTCAGTACGTGACAAGATTATTAGAGCAATAGTACGAGGATTAGTTTATCTTCATGAAGATTCTCGTCCTCGAATCATACATCGTGATCTCAAAGCAAGCAATATTTTGTTAGACAAAGATATGAACCCTAAAATTTCAGATTTTGGCATGGCTAGAATATTTGGAGTTGACCAAATTGAAGGAAGCACTAACATAATTGTTGGAACATAGTAAGTGTTGGTTTAAAAAACTTTTTTTTAATCGATTCGTTATAGTATAGAAAAATGTTAATTATTGTGATTTATTGTTCTTTTAATAGCGGCTACATGTCCCCGGAGTATGCAATGCATGGTCAATTCTCAGTGAAATCAGATGTTTTTAGTTTTGGTGTGCTTCTTTTGGAGATAATAAGTGGAAAAAGAAGAAATAATAAAGAAGATAAATTTGATGACCTGCTTGTCCATGTAAGTGCAAATTAATTTACTTTAATCACATTATGTTTATGCATAAAGTAATTTTAATATTTTTATCCTAATTTATTAAGATTATATTATAATAAATGTTGATATTTATAGGCATGGAAGTTGTGGAAAGATGGTAGAGCAATGGAACTTGTTGATCCATCTCTTATTGGTGACTCAAATTCAATGTCTAAAATCATGAGATGTATACATATTGGATTGTTATGTGTTCAAATTGATTTGGATGGAAGACCTACAACTACTTTGATATCTCATATTCTCAGTATTGATTCTGCTATTCTATCAGAGCCAAATCAACCAGCGTCTTTTAAAGATTATTCTACATTAGGAAATATCGATCAACTCAAAAGTATTTTCATCCCGTCATCTAGTTTTGAGGAATTAATTACTGAAATCTACCCAAGATAGTATTGTATACCAAAGGTCAGCACGTATATATATATAGCGACTTAATTATATTGTCACAAAAAGTCTTTTATGATGATTTTTTTTCACTTTTTGCAGTTCTATTTCTTGTAGTTATAAAAATTTACTTTTCGATGTGTTTTAATTCTTCTGTTGGATTTATGTATTCTACAGACAATAATAAGATATCAGTGTATCAAATTGTCATGTTTAATAGTTCTAGCTATCTTATTTGAATAAAAGACTATTTGATAATTTTAGCAAACAAATAATTTAATATTAGTTAGTTATAATGTAAGAATGAACAAATTGATTCGTTGGATCAAATAAGGCATTATTTGTCTATCATGACTTCATTAGAAATCGGATCGTAACAAAAATCTTATGACTATCAAATGAAAACATACATAAATCCAAATTGAAAAGCAATCTCTTATCAGTATGTAATAGGAATTGATCTTTTTGTTACAAAAGACTTTCTATGGTGATTTAAAAGTCGAGAATAGTCTATACACGTGGTGCTCATGGATATTGTCACAACCCAGACCATCGTAATTGACACCCACACTAACCCTTCGGTGGGAGAACCATTAATACTAATTAGCTAACCAACTTTAAACAAAATACTAAGGCATTTAAGTTACGGAAGCTAGTTAAATGCTAAGGAAAGAAATAGGGAGTTCCCATAAACTCCAAACAAAAGTCTAACAACTAAAACAAATGCGGAAATACTACCTAGAACCTGAAAGTCAATGTACCAAAACATATGACAAGATCCATAAGTCTAACAAGAAGGGTTACAACCCCAAACTAATGCACTAACAACTAACTAGAAAGTCTAAGTCTGAAATGTGGACTTAGACAGAAAGAGAAATCATGGATGCCCGAAAGAACTGGCTCACCCTTGAATTCGAACGATCACAAATCTTCTAAGCGAGGTCTGTCAATAGCCGCTTGAAGATGTCTTGTACTTAACAACGAAAGAGCAAGTGCAATATCAGTACACAACCACAGTGTACTAGTAGGATCACACGGCTATCCTACTAAGTGTAACATACATAAGTTAATACAACAATACAATAATATGCATACACCGAACATATACAATATCATCAACATTTACGAATAACGAATAGTTTCACAATTCTCAAATATCACCGTTATATAAAGTCATTGGTCCTCTCATAGAACCCAAACCCAGACTGTTAGCATACCGAAACGTGGTACCCGATCCAAGGTTTATGCCAGAACGTGGCAACCGATCTCATATTTATGCCGGAACGTGACAACCGATCCAAGTTAGTGTGTCGGAACACAACACCCGATCCATTCAACAAGCCACAATCACAAGTATATTCTCACAATTATACAAGCAAGTCATGATTTCATGGCATTCATCATTCATATATCTTCATTTACAATTAATGTGATCAATAATGCAACATTCACATACATACATGTATCATAATGAAGCAAGAATAAACATACATCACACAATCATAGAATCACGATCATCACCTACCTCGAAACAAGCTTGAAACCCTTAAGAAACTTGATTCTTCCCTTTTCGGATTCGTTCCGCTTGTTCTCGGTCTACAAACAATTAATTTAACACATGAATCAATAAACAATAACTAATTACCTGAATTACTAACAATTCTATCAACCCTAGATCATACCCATGATCCTCATACCCAGATTAGGGCCTTTTCCACCATAATCCCAGATCAAAACCCTTCCCCATTGATAATTACCTATTAGGTTACGTTCTACGCATCAAAAAACGGATTCAGGGAGTAAAAATCTTACCTTTAGCCTCAAGAATGGTGGAAAACTATTAAGAAAAGCCCTAGGTTCGTGTCATAGCTCTCAAGTTCGAAAATTATAGAATAAAACGTTGTTGGGGTTTATTTCTGACTTTAAATCGCGTCTGTCCCGCCACAACGATATCACCCAGCTATAGCGCCACCTTGGCGGCAGAAAATACCGTTATAGTAGTTTGCACAAAACAGTGAGCAAAATTAATAATTCCAAGACCCCATTTCACAGCACACCTTCATCCAATGACACTCAGAAACTACCCATTCACGCTAATATCAGTTTCAGGAGTTCTACTCACCCGAATTCAATTCCGTAAAGTCGTACGGGTTCCTTAACGTCTTATCTATCTACTCATGTGATCAAATTCATATTTAGATCACCTAATTGCTACTAGATTTCCCTAGATCGCACAGACTCCGATTTCGTCCAAATCTGGACTAGGTTGAAAAATTCCAAGTTACTACGAAAAAGATTTCCGACCCAAAAAAATCTCCGTTGGCTTTGCTATAATGACGGGAACAGGTCGTTACAGATATACTACCTCGGGTAAACTTCAGTGTTTGAATCTTTGAAAACCAACAATGAAATGCTTGTGGGTTCATTCATATTTTCTTTTTTAGAATAACCCCTAAAAAATGCTGGTCGATTTGACTCTGACAGAATAGTAGAATCCCTACTGAGAATATGAGCTATCAAAGTAGTTGTAGGTCTTTCATCCAAATCATTTTGAACACATAACAATTCGATATGTATACATCTCATGTTTTAGACATTGAGTTTGAGTCACCAATAAGAGATGGATCTACGACTTTCGTGCCTATAAATTTATAGATGCCGAACAAGTAAAAAATCATTTAATATCAATGCCAAACAAGTACCCCCCTAGACTATGACTGAAATTACAGAGACACACCTTAACTAAACTAAGGTCCTATTACACCTCTGAACTTATTTTTTTGTAATTTGATACACCTTTTTGGCCTACGTGGCCTCCAAACATTTCCCGCATGCCTCACCTAAGTGGAGTCACGGAGTGTGACACGTAAGTCAAAAGGTGTACAAAATTACACGAAAAATGAGTTCAGGGGAGTAGTAGGACCTTACTTTAGTTAAGGTGTGTCTCTGCAATTTCGGTCATAGTCTAGGGGGTTCCTTGTGTCTTTTCCCAAATAATTTAATTAAAGCTTTACATGTATCATCACTTAATTTTATCAAGAGGAGAGGGGGTGGGGAGGGAGACAATTTTAATCCGAAAATTAATGTTAAGAGTAATTAGAATTCAAAAGGTAGAAGGTGAGACATTTTTAACCTACATTTAAGAAAAATTGACAAAAATAAACAACCATCAATATTATTTTTTTTTGTACATAACTACAACATACAATTTTGATGCATACATATATATATATATATATATATATATATATATATATATATATATATTTTATTATTATTTTTTTTTTTTTTTTTTTTATTTTTTTTATATATGGCTAGAGAATATAATTACTTTTGTCAACCGATAAAATATATACCTCATACGTAAGGGTTGGGGGCACAACATGTGCGTTAGGAATTTTTTTAACTTCTTTTCTATTTTTTATATTGTTAACGTATACAATTTAAATTCTTCGTTGACAGGCAATTCTTAATGAAGTTTAAAAATCAGTGATTGACAAAGCACCTTAGCTCTTAGAAACTTCCTTATTGCCTTGTGTCCATAACACCGGCCAATAATTTGCACCTAGGACTCCCCCTCTTTTTCTCGAACTAGTGTCACCATCGATTACTATTTAAATTTTGACCTTTCTTAAAAAATTTGTATAAATATTTTAGATATATGGAGAGTTGGGGGAGTAGTACGTGAAGTCTCACCATATTTTGTACATATTTTGGTAGTATGAGCCATTTTACATAAATTAGGTGTTTTGTTTTTTTTCAGGTTTTCGTGTGTTAGCCCATGAAAGTTTTGGTGATATAACTTCCGGACAATTTTTTTTGCAAAACCTATACCAAACCCTCCGTTTAGAGTTGGGGGAGCAGTATGTGAAGCCTCACATCTTTTGTACATATTTTGGGCATTTAGGAGACATTTTATAGGAATTAGACGATTTTCTCAATTTTTCGTGTGTGTTAGTCCATGAATATTTTGGTGATATGGTTTCAGGATGATTTTTTGTAAAACCTTTATGGAACCCTTCGCACGGAGTTGGGGGAGGAGTACGTGAAGCCTCACCATATTTTGTACATATATTGGTCATTTAGGAAACATTTTATAGGAATTAGACGATTTTCTCAGTTTTTCATGTGTATTAGCCCATGAATATTTTGGAGATGGCTTCTAGACGATTTTTTTTTCAAAACCTTTACGGTACCCTCTCTAAGGAGTTGGGGTAGCAGTACGTGACGCCTCACCATTTTTTTTTCACATATTTTTGACATTTAGTAGTCATCTTACAAAAAATATGTGATTTTCTCATTTCACATATTTTTTCACCTTTACGGTATCCCATGATTTTTTTAGCTTTTGTATTTACAAAAATCGGTCGTGATAGTAGGTGGAACGATTGAGACATATTCCATAGTCATGTTGTGGTACAAGTTATTTTTTTTATTTTTATTTTTGCTTTGTGACTTGCACTTAAGCCTTTTAAAGTTTCTAATTCACTTAGAATTTTTTTTTATATTATCGGATTATTAAAAAGATAATATACATATAACTATCGTGCATAAATAAGTGAAATTAATAATATTAAAAAGTAAAGCAAACAATGTACTAATGAAAAGTGTGTAAACTGCTCAATTAAGTCTGTGCGGATAAGTTAAATCTAAAATTAAAAATAGGCATTTAGATTTTTAATTTAAAAGGGAGAGTAAACTCTTATCTTATAAAAATAGTTTTATATGATATCAAGCTAAAATTCAGATTTGAATACTGATTATTAAAACACTTTTCTCTTACTGAGCCTCACGCCATCGAAATTTAAATTAATCGAGATCTCAATTGAAGTATATGATACCGAGTGAAATTGGAAAAAAGAAGAAGAGAAAAACTTGAATATTATGTACTAATCACTCATGTTTAAATCGTTAATCATATCAATCAATGACTAATCAAGACCAAGGAGGAATATTCTCTCCACTAATTACTCATGTTGAAACTTTGACTTACTAGTCAACTAAGA